TGACAATCCTGGGTCGCAGCCCTGGGTCTGGCTGTGAGACTCTGGGCAAGTCGCTGACCTCTGTGGCTCAGTTTTCTTGCCTGTAAAACGAGAGGGAGAAGAATAGGGCGGAAGTTCTCTCTGCTGGCTGCCCGTTAGCCTCTAGGACCTTTGGCCCACAGGATGGGCTCAGGTGCCGCCCCAGAGGTTCTGATCGAATTGGTTTGTATGCAGCCTGGAAATTGACATTTTTAGGAAAGCTCCCAGATTCCTGGGCAGTCAGACCAGCGGGCTACAGAACAGGGAGATCCTGAAGAAGGCCTTGCCTCCTGACCCAGCCTCCTGACCCAGCCTCATCCGATGCTACTATCCACACAGACTTGGACACCAGATGGCTTGGGCTCCGATCCCAGCTTGCCTACTTACTTGCTGTGTGGCTTTGAGCAAGTTACTTAACCTCTCTGTGCCTCAGTTTTCTCATCTGTAAAACTGAGATAATAATATCTACCTCACGGGCTTGTTGTTGGTGTGAGAAGTAAGCGGGTTAAAACGTCTGAGGCACTCAGGACAGTCCCTGCCACAAAACCCACAGGGCAGCAGAGGGGACAGCTGCTGTCTTTTGTTTTACTGGTTCGGAGACCTCCCGTGTCCCCCCCTCATCAGCACCGGAGTGTGCTTTACACGTGCGGCTGGTGGCATTTTGTACTGACCAGTTGGTTTCGAGAAATTCCACGTGGTCTTTTAAAACTGAGCATTTCTGTGAGAGCATCTGGGAAGTACTATCTTCCTTTTCTGCACAGATGGGAAAAGGACAATCCTGAAGCTGAGATTAAAGTTGCACAGTAAATTCAGTCATGTGGTGCTGACGTGCACGGTTGTGTGAGGGAACGTAGGGAGGAAGGCAAGGGTTGTTGGACCTAGAGGTCATCTTTCTTGGTCACTAGGTGCCCGTACACATCCTTTCTAGCAACTCTGCCATTTGCCTTGAACCATTATGTCCACACCCTCTCTAGGGCACAAGTCAGGGACCAGTGCCCACCTGGACTCCCCATTTCCCGTAAGACCAGGGCTGTATCTTCCCAGAAGATATTCCAAGTTGGATGCACAACATGAATAGAAAGACAAGAGTCACAGCCCCGGGTTTTCTCCTGGTCTGAGTCCAGTTCACTGAGCCTCTTTGTCCCAAGTATCTTATCTGCGCAATGAAGGGGTTGGATTATGAACAAGGTCATTCCAAGGATCCGTGCTTTCTGTCCACTCTCCTGCTTTTTATCAATATATGACCATTATTTATTTTTCTTTCAATCTGCTGTAAATGTACTCATTTAAAAATTAACATCCCACTGAACTGTCTATGATATATACGTGTGTGTGTATTCATGTATATGTCATATATGATAAACTAAAAATTATTATTAAAATAAGAAAGATTCTTCCATGCAGCTCCGGTACCAAATTACACCTCATCATGGCTCATACACCATGCTTCTTTTTGGGGAGGGGGCTCCACTGGAGTAGAGAGAGAATGTAAGTCTTCCCTTGTTATGGAACTCCAGGGGAGATCTGACCCCCAGTGGACTGTGGTCACAGCATATAGGAAGCGAAAGAAAGAGCCATGTGAGGGCACCTGGGTGGCTCAGTCTGTTAAGCGTCTGCCTTCGGCTCAGGTCATGATCCCAGAGTCCTGGGATTGTGCCCCACATCGGGCTTCCTGCTCAGCGGGGAGCCTGCTTCTCCCTCTCCCTCTGGCTGCCCCTCCCCCTGCTTGTGCTCTCTCTCTCTCTGTCAAATAAATAAATAAAATCTTTAAAAAAAAAAAAAAAAAAAAAAGAGCCGCATGGCTTCTGAGACCAGTTGCTGTTTTGGTGGGAGTTTGGGGCTTTTAGGTGAGAGCAGGCATCACTTGCTAAACTTGGTGGTTAAATTAAGAGACAAGAGAGTGAGTGAGGTCACGATATCACTTGGTCTCTTCCTTGGTTTGGTCACCAAATCCAGTGAGGTGGCCCTTCCCCCCCCCCGCCCTTTAAATAACTCCTCCCTGAGGATAAGCAGCTGTTTGTGTGCTAGATCAGAGGAAAGCTTGTCACGTCCAGACTCGGGTGACAGAAGCTTGGCACGCTGAACATTTTCTCCAGTAGGGGAGGAAAATGCCCTGATAGGGAATGTTTGAGTAAGTGAACAATGTGTGTTGACTTTTTCCAGTATGATTTTCAAGCCCATCTCTTGAATCTTGAGCCAGACCTTAATGTTTAACCCCAGCTCTCTCCCTTATTATGAAAGCTTCTAATATTTGCAAACTTCAGTTTGTAACAAGTTCCTCAGACTGATTTAGGATGACGTCAGCAATCCTGAAGGTGTGTGTCGTGCCCTGCAGTGTTCTCAGCATTTTCACATACGTCCTGAGTCACTGAACAGCCTGGGGGGTGGGGGGCAGGAATTGTTGTGGATGAGTGAGCAGAAACAGTGGCCATGAGATTTCACTGGATCCACTGACAGGAAGCCCAAAGCTCTTTGTCTGTCGCAAAGCTTCCGTGTGGTGACCTGAGTTTAAATTCCAGATTGTGATTATCATAAATGTGGTTTGGGACTTAATTTTTTTTTTTTTTAATCACATCCATAGGAGGGAGATTATGGGAACATCCTGTAATGTGGCAGTTTGCTTGGGAAACATTTCCATTTTGGGCATTCTCAACATGTGGGTCACCAACCACCTGCATCAGAATCACCTGGGCTGCCATTCCAGACCCCCTGACTTGGCACCACAGCGGGCGGGCTCTGAATCTGCTTGTGCAACAACCTTTCCCGGTGATGCTTGGGAATTTTGTTCTCTGTGTAGCAAGTGGATAACTTGTATTACTCTCTGGATGTGAAGAGACTGGCTTGTTTGAGAGCTCCATTTGCAGGGGCGCCTGGGTGTGAGCGACTCTTGTTTTCGGCTTAGGTCATGATCTCAGGGTCGTGAGAGCAGGTCCTGTGCTGGACTCCGAGCTCAGTGCAGAGTCTGCCTGTCCCTCTCCCTCTGCTCCTTCCCCGGCTCTTTCTTTCTCTCTCTCAAATAAATAGATAAAAATAAAATCTTAAAGCTCCAATTCTGGGGCTGAGGAGGGGTGATATGGGAAGGGTAGAATACTGTCTCCACCACCTCCACCTTTCCTGGGGAACTCTTTTCCTATCTCTATCTGTCCCAACTCATCTTAGAAAAATGGTGGGTGATGTGGAGATCCATCCTCCTCCCGCTTCCTGTCCCTCCATCCCTCCCTCCATCCATTCATCCAATGTGCCCAATACGTGCCAAGTGCTTGGGATATAAGAAATATAAGACAGCCCTTGACCTCGAGGGGACTAAATTTTGTTTAGATAGTAGCAGATGTGTAAGAAGAACTGGAAGTGAGAGCAGTCAATTTCACAAACATTTAATGTGACAATGAACAGGAGAGGCTTAAAAAAAAGGAAATTAAGAAAAAACTATTATAGGTAATGCAGAGAAGCTTTGCACAAAGAGCAGAAGACGGGTATCTTTTTATATTATGTAATTCTTCAAAGCACAGAGTTCTCTGAGTTTTAGCACTTGCTTAGAGTCAGTCCTTGTATTATTTTGCAGTGGAATCCTTACTTGTCCATGAGTCACAATTCAGGTGGTTGATGATCGTAGAAACCAGGGCATTAGTGATCATCTCTAACCATTACCACAAGGTACTCTGAGCCTTTAACTTTGACACAGGCTTAGCAAATTATGATTTCAAGGTCAATTTTCATGGGAAACTCTAAGGGAGAACACCCAAGAACTATTTTCCTCCTATAAGCTCTGGTTCCAATGTGCTGGAGAGGCTGTTGATTTACAAACTCTATCTTCCTTCATAGGAAGTCTGTTGTTTCAGTATTTTCTGATGACTTGCATTTAATAAAATAGCACTCATTCACAATGAGAGTCCAACCAAGCACTCAGGGTTGAGTGGCAGAATCTATTGAGTAGCTCTTCACATTTGAACAGATCAACTTAAATGCGGTTTGACCTCAGCATGGTTCAGGAGGGGAAATGCAAAGCTGGCTAGGACCTCCTTGCAGTTCTCACAAACCCGAGGCTGGGCAGTGCTGTCTAGCGGGACTTTCTGTGATGAGGGCAATGCTCTTCACCTGTGGGAATTGAGCACTTGAAATGTGACGAGTGTGACTAAGGAGTTGATATTTAATTGCATGTAATTTTGGTTCATTTAATTTGAATTTAGATAACGGTGTGAAGCGTGCTGGACAGCCCTGGCTAAGGCAGGACTGCCCTACATCAAAATGGCTTTCTCTTCTCCCTTCCTTCCTGCCCCACTCCTTTTCACTCCCTGCTGGCACCTGCCTATCCATTCTTTTCCCAACTCCATGACTACTGGATACAACAAGAGGGCAAAGCAGACCTTAAGGAAGGTGGCTCCTGAAGAGCCATGGGAAACAGCAATCAGCTGATGAGAAAGGCGTTCTCTGGGGTGTGGGTGGGCTGGGGCTGAAAGCCTTGAAGTACGTTCCTTTAGATGTGACACCTCTTCAGTTCAGTTCGTCCTCATTTCTTTTGGACTCTGGACCGTTGATGGGTGGGAACGTGGAAGGGAGAACCAAATGCCAGTCTTGCAACCTTGTTCAGCAGTAGTTGCTCAGTAAGTATTTATTCCTTGGCTAAATAAAGGATGTTGGAGTGTGGTAATTGCTACTCCAACCTGGGAGCTGTCGCTCCTTGCCATCTACTTTCCCTTTAGGACCGGTAGAGGGGCTAACCAATGGATACTGGGACTGTGTTGCTCAGGGGTATTTATTGGCAGCAGTAAGTATCGTAATGGCAGATCCTGTAGAGTACTGAATATCTGAGCTCGCTCCAGAGAAGTTGGCCTATGACACCCAGCTGTAGCAGGCCGAATAGTTATAATATTATCGGAAAACAAAATATGACTTAGAGGGTGGTAGAATCGGTGGTTACGTACCCTGGACAGTAGCAAGCACCGCTAAATACATTTTTTCCCCCTCTCCTTTCAACCCTATAGGCAGCATTGATAAAGCAGGTACATCCTTGCCTACCTGGGCCATAGCTCTGCTGACAGTATCTTTGTCATTGCTTTTGATCCTGATAATTGTTCTGATTATAATATTCTGCTGTTGCTGTGTCTCCAGGCAAGAGAAAAAAGGTAATTTTTTTGTTCATATAGATTTGCATGTATTTTTGAACTTTTGGTCCAAGCACTTGAAGTTCATTAGCTCCTCAGCAATTTCGTAAGATGCGTTGACCTTCAGAGCATCCTTCACTTGGAAGCGGACATGTGAGCTTCAGAGAGTGAAAGGACTTTCTGAAGAAGGGATACATTCCTTTGGGGCCAGGTGTAACCCCTCCGGGGAAGACTGAGATCTTCACACTTTTCGGAAGGTGAAGAGACAGTACCTCTCTGAGCAAAGACACTGACTATTTGAATTTGTGCGTATTTTCGAGGATGTAAGGGCATTAGAATCTGCCATTCAGATGCTATGCTTTTTTTTTTCTAGAATAATACCTATCTATCTGAGCACATTAAAAGATTATTTCCTATTTTGTATAATTCCAAATTGCCTTTTGCAGGCAAATGTTTTAGTGGTAGGAAGAAAAAGGAGGTCTTCTGTCAAGTAAAAATAGTACAGATAAAATTAATAAAGATAATTACACATTTCTTCTGAATGAGGTCTCTTGAGGTACTCAAAAACGGTGGCCTCGTTTGGGGGTCAGGTTCAAATTCGTGGGGGGCTCATCAACATTGGGGTGGACTTGTCATAGAATTCAGCTGTTTGTGACTCCAGAAACCAAAGGATCTTTGTCATGTGGTTGGCTCAGGACTTTCCAAGTGCTGAATGTGTCCAGCCTTACCTTTCTTTGTCTCATAAAACCTCACCTATGCCTATTTGAATATTTTCTACAGTTAAATGATTTTTCTTAAAATCAGACTTCTGATATTAGGCTACGTGTCAGTTTAATTGCATTTAAAATTTTATTAACACTAATTGCCATTTGATGAGCACATTTGTGGCTGTGTCAGGCACCGTGTTAATTACCTTACATGGAATACCTCTCAGTGAGATATTCTGTGTAAAGTGCACAGTTATGTTGTGTCTAGGTTAATTGTCTAGCCTAAGCCCCTGCGTGGATTTGGTTTGGGATTGGGAATTAATTCTGTCATACAACTTAATTCCTTAGGAAACGGAACATGAAAAGTAGTAAGCCTCTGTTGGCCCAGATTTGATGGAAATTTGCTTTTACCTGGGAATTACCCTATATGCCACAGAAGGATTACTCAAGTAAAATACACTGGATTTTAAAGGAAAACTATTGGATAACTTACATTTTAATGGAGAAGTGACTAGGATTGTTCAGTGCCTTCAGGTTATTATTTTCAACATTAGCTACTGTGGTGTCGTTGGAGGACATTCTGGTTATTTGGACTTCTGCTTCTCTTCAGCTGTGTTTTTGTGTGTTCCACAACAGCCTAGTAAGAAGGCTGTGAGGGTTGGTGGCCCATGTAAGATGTACACCAGGGTGACTCTCTGATTCTTAGCATCCTCATAAGATAAGAATAAGTACTATCCTACAGATTGGTTGTGAGGACAAAATAAAATGATATATGAAACTGTTTCCACCCTAGATTTTATCCTTTATTTAACTTTGAGAGGAAAAGCTCATGTAAGAGGGAGCTGTTTTTATTGCCCTGGTTTTTAACAGGTCCAGGGCCTGTGACAACCTATTTACCAAGGCCACCCCATTGGGTGGAATTCACAGTGGACACTACACTTCACCTTGACATAAATGTAAAGGATCCAGGGAGGTCCTGGATTTCCCCATGACAATTGTCTCCATTCTTAAAAACAACAGGCGTCAAGTTTCTTCAGAAGTATTGTCTGGCACTTTGCTTTGCCAGTGCCTGGAGAATTCTCAGTGCTCTGATTGGTTAACTGGGGACTGACTGAGGAGAGCTGAGGGCCCCACTCTGTGTGGTCTGAAGGCCTTGGGATTGCTTCTGCTAATAGAACGGAGAAGCTGAGAGCCCATCTCTCGGAGCCCATCCTTATGGGAACACTAGTGATATTCCAAACTGTCTCTCTTTTTCATTTCAAATAAGATTGCTTCTGAGGTCCAATTTGGGGTGTGAACTGGCAGATGTTATTTCAAATGGAAGTGAGAACATATCTAAAAATAAGGAAGATGATTTTTTTTTTTTTTTTTTAGATTTCAGTAAAGCTTGATGAATAGAAGGCCTAGACAGGACAGCAGAGTTGCAAGGAACACTGGCTTTTGAGAACAGATGATTGGGGACTGGTGTGTGGCTCTCTTACTCCCTATTTCCAGGTTCCCTATGTCCCTTCCAGTCTAAGAATCTATTGATTAAAAACATTAGTATTTTAATGACAGCTTCTGGGGGTGGATGCAACTCTGTGCATTGATACCATTGTTACATATTGATTGAAAATGTATCTTAGAATTAAGGAAGTACAGTGCTTAAACAATGTAATTCCTTAAAGTATGGTAATAAAATATAATGGTGTCTAGTTTGTTAAAAATATGGTGACACTCACACCTACCTCTTGGGTTGTTGTAATGAGTAAATGAAATAGTATCTTGCACAGTCTGGTACACAGTGAGTACTGAATGAATGACAATAGGGATTGGGAATGCAGAATGCCTCTTCCTGGTGAATACAGTCTTCATATCTTGCTAGTTAAACTCAAGATTCATTAAGAACTTATTAGGTACCTACTATACTTTAGGTATAGTAGTTATCATAGGATAGTTAATAGTGAATTCTACTTGCCTTAGGCTTGAAAGTCATTTGGTAATTTGGTGTGGGGGGAATTTAATAATACCGAATGGGTCACAAATACTCAGCAATGTATTTAAAATCAGGGGGGTCTATAAAAATTGATTAGATTTTATTTTCAGAATAACTAATACTAACGTGATTTTGTTCCTTTTTTTTTTTTTAGAATCTAGTTATCAAAGTGAAATAAGGTAAGTTTGAAATCACATCAATTTTCTGAAAACAAAAACAACTGAAAAACAACCAAAAAACACCAACCCTACCACCGCTAACACACACAGAGATGTGGGGTTTCAGGATCATGTTACTCAAAATTAAGTACTGAAAATGGACAACTTTGAAAAACACGTATGCCAAACACAAACTCATATGGCAAAATTAATTGTAGAATAAAATAGAGGATGGAGATCCTGCCTACATTTGACTTGCCCTGGCTCACTTAGGAAAATGGGATTTTCTACTTGGTGTCTGGCATTTGCAACTCTTTCCACAAGAGGACACTATGCACCGTGACTGTTGTCCCTCCTGTTTTGAGTCAATGCAGGGGACTTGAGGACCATTTCAAGGATAGAGAACCAGGCAGAGGTCCTGATGGAATTTCTGGGGCAGTGGAGAACAGTGAGACCGGCAGGATGGCTTCAGGCACGTGAAACTGACCAGGCAGACAAATTAGGTAGCTTGTACCACTAATGGGGGAGGGGACAGAAAAATCCCAGCCATTCCCATGGCCGTCCAGAAGTAGCTGCAAGCACTTTTAAGGTAGCTATACCTACAATAATACAATAAGGAGTTTAAATGTCTGCAATATTTAGACAAGTATAAATGCAGCAAGGGGAGGGACTTTTAGACAGTGGTCATTTTGCTGGGGGTGTTACAACACAACTATAGCTAATTTTCAGTATTTTATTAGATAATTTTAGCTTTTGAAATGCTGAGATTTTAAAATACCCTTTGGCTACATGTGGTGAATGAAGATGTGTGTAATCACTGTGTAACAGACACTAGCCGTTCTCCCTTTGACCCCAGTCGCTCACTGGTGATAATGCAGTGTTGGGCGAGGTGTCTGTGGTCTCTGAGGACACTACCAAGCATCAGTCTGAAACTGCTCCTCCTCTGGGGCCTGACATAGGGCAAGAGGAGAGGAAGGCAAATGGACTCCAGTAATTATTCCAGCATTTCTCTAGAGTGCTGTCTCCAGCAGGATGGCAGCCTGGATTCTTCCGTTCACCATTATGGACTTTGTAACATCTTTTATTTCTCTTCTCTGGGATCTTAGATGATTTCAAAACATAGTACGGTGGTCAACAGCTATTTGGGGGCATGGATAGAGAATAAGAAGAATAATGACAACAGCAGCAATAATATGACAGTCGGGACGACAATCACTAGTATATGCTGAGTGCTGAACATACATTAGGTCCAGGGAGGAAAGACGGGGCAACTCACCGGGACCCCATATCCTCCCTGCTTTCCGTGCCCTGTGGAACCTGTGCAAACTCCAGTTGCTCCAGGCTCCTTCTGCAGTAAAATAGCACATATTCCTTCCTACAGAATCAACGCATGTTTATTATAGAAAAAATTAAAATATACTTTTAGGAAATGATTTTGAGAGGCCCTGGGGGACGCAGTCGGTTGAGCATCTGACTCTTGATTTCTGCTTAGGTCGTGATCTCTCCGTGCCCAGTGCAGAGTCTGCTTGAGACTCTCTCTCCCTTTCAGTCCGCCACTCCCCCCTGAAAATAAATGAGTAAATCTTTAAAAAAAAATAGCAATGATTTTGAAATCACCCCTAATTCTATCGTTCAGAAGCAGGTATTGTTATGTAAGTATGTATCTGCTCACACACACGTGTGTTCACATAGATACATGCACATATGCATTTGGTGAAATTTGCATCAGCATAAATCTTATTTCGTAGTGTGCTCTTCTCAGTTGGCACTATCCTGAAGATTATTTCTGTTAATAAATTTCTATAATAGATAAATTTCTGTTAGTAAATAGTAATAATAAATTTCTGCTTAATAGAAATATCTTATTGAAGTATAATGTAAGTTCAGAAAAGTATACAAATTGTAGGTGTGTAGCTTGATTCCTTTTCACAAAGCGTATGGGCCTTGAGTGGGGACATGCAGAACTAGAGCACCCCCAGCACCCCAACCTCTCCATGCCCCTCAAATCACTGTCTGCCCCTTCCTCAAAGGTCATGTCTTTTTTTTTTTTTTTTTAGAGAGGGAGAGTGAGAGAGAGAGAGGGCCAGGGAGGGGCAGAGGAAGAGGGAGAGAGAGAATCTTAAGCAGGCTCCACGCCCAGCGCAGAGCCCAACGCTGGGCTGGATCTCACAACCCTGAGCCCAGATCAAGAGTCGGACGCTTAACCAACTGAGCCACCCAGGCGTCCCAAGGTTATGTCTTCTGACCTCTATTCCCACATCCCCAGAGATTATATTCATATGAACTTTATGTAAATGGAATCATAGCGTGTATACTCATTCATTTTGGTTTTCTTAAGCGTCACACTGTGAGATTGGTCCATATTATTCAATGAAGGTGTAAATGGTGTATTATTATATAATACTACACTGTGGGTATATACGCAATTTATTTTTCCTTTAAATGGGCATTTGGATAGTTTTTGGGGTCATTATGAATTCTGTGGCACTAAGCAATTTAATATGGATCTTTGACGACATGTTCATAAGTACTCCTTCCTGTGTTGTATTCAGTTGGGTGTATGTCTACCCGTGGGAGCTGGGTAGGTGGAGTCACAGGGTAAGTAGGGCAGACAATACTGCTGTTCGCTCTTCCGAAGTGGGTGTGCCAGTTTATACTTTCACCAGCAGTGCATGAGAGCTCTCACCTGTACTAATTTTTACAGGTGGCATGGAATTTCATTTTAGAGATGTATTGTCATTTATTTCACTAGTCCCCTATGGTGGGGCACCTGGGTCGTTTGCAGTTTTTGCTATTATCAGTAGCTCATGAACGAACATTCTTTCAAGTAAATCTTTGCACATATCTTTGGTTATTTCCCTATAATAAGTTCTTAGTGGTCAAGCGTGAATATCTTTAAATATTTAGATATCCATTGCCAAGTTTTCTTGCCCTGGGAAGCTACATAAATTTTTACTTTGTTTCAAAGATTGGCACACGTTCTCTATAAAGGGCCAGATAGTAAATATTTTGCTTTTGCGGGCCACGCGCTTTCTATCACAATTACTCAGTTCTGTTGTTGTAGCAGGCAGACAGCCATAAATAATATGGAAGCAGACAGGGGCGGCTGTGTTCCAGTAAAACTTTATTTATAAAAAAGGGGGGGTGGATTTGCCCTGTGGGGTCAAGGTTTGCCAACCCTGCTTAATTTGGTCCCTGGCTTCTGGGGGTTGATTATCGACCGGGGAATGGAGTCCATGGGCCTATCTCTCTCTACCTCAATGGGAGTGTGAGCAGGCAGACCACCTACAGAGTCATGCTGGTGGCTATGAGTGTCCCTCCTGACGTTGTGGTGGGTTCAGCATGCAAGAACGCTCTGGGTGGAGCAGACTGAACCGAATATCCACTGCTGATTAACATTTGGCTTTTTAAAATGGTTAAAATAAAATAAAATAAAATAAAAAAATAAAATGGTCTAATTCCAGGAAATCTGCAAGCATGAAGACAAACAAAGAAACTTTGGAGACAAACATAAAAAGTGGGAGTGAAAACAACGCCTACAGCCCAGATGAGCCCAGGATGGCCAGTGAGTGGGCGGGTGGGGCATTCGGAAGACCTGGAGGGGAGTGTGGGGGAGGAGCTGACTGACCCTGACCAGCACGGCTGCCCACTGGCTGCACCAGGCGGGGGACTCAGCCCTTGCTGGTCATTATTTTTTGAGTAATTTTCAGAAGAAGGAGAAATTTCAGGACTAGAAATATATATATATTTTTTAATATCTTATTTATTCATTTGAGACAGAGAGATACAGAGAGATAGAGCATGAGCAGGAGGAGAGGCAGACGGAGAGGGAGAAGCAGGCTTCCCTGAGGAGCAGGGAGCCGGATGTGGGGCTCAATCCCAGGACCCTGGGATCATGACCTGAGCCAAAGGCAGACGCTTAACCACCTGAGCCACCCAGGCGCCCCCAGGACTAGAAATATTCTATAAAAAGTAAAAATCCACCTATATCTCCAAAGTTTAAAATAAAGTGGGATGAAAATTTAAGGGCTTTAAAATAAAATTTTTTATGCTTTCTCTTTTGTTAAAGCTTTCTACCTTTATTACTTATTTATTTATTTATTTGTTTTTAAAGATTTTATTGATTGATTGATTGATTTGACAGAGAGAGGCACAGTGAGAGAGAGGGAACACAAGCAGGGGGAGTGGGAGAGGGAGAAGCAGGCCTCCCTCCCAGCAGGGAGCCCGATGCGGGGCTTGATCGCACAACTGGGATCATGCAGGACCCTGGGATCATGACCTGAGCCGAAGGCAGATGCTTAACGACTGAGCCACCCAGGCACCCCAAAGCCTCTACCTTTAGTAAAGCGTATGAGGAGGCATTTTAATACATTGAGGGTCACTTTCCCAAAATGTCACATAAAACCAAAACTCAGAGAGAAATCTGTTGCTATTGAGCTTTGGAGGGTGTGGGAGAATGTTGAAAAATGAAACCCAATTTTGAGAAGTCTTTATAGCACCCGAAAGTCTTCCCTTTCGAGGACACCGTCCTAGTGGGGGCTCAGCCACCGGCAAGGGGCTAAAGGTAGGGTTTGATCTGAGATCTTTCTGGAAGGCAGATGAGAGAGGAGGGGAGTATGAATGGGTGGGAGAGGGAGACCCGGCCCTAACAAGTTGCCTGGCAAAACAAATTCCACAGAAAGATGTTTCGTTAATCAGTTCTTGCTGAGAACCGCCCCCGCCCCCCCACAAATTGTTTTCACTAAGATTGGGGCTGCCCTCCTGGCCCATTTCTCCCCCTTCACCATGGTGGTCTCCCACGTTCATTCCAAATGGCTCACTTCAGATTCTTAAAAATTCCACAATGCTGTTCTGATCATAGCTTACAAAATTTCCTATGTGTGAATATTTATTTATTAGTGTTTTGAGTAGTTAATTAAGTAGCTTGACCAAAATCATGGCCCAAACCAAACCTCTCTGTCTTTTTGTCCTTTTGTATCCTGTGTTTACATTCCTTGGTCAGCATTAAAGCTATGGATTCACCTTGTCTCTGGATGAGACTAATGAGTCAAGGAAGGACTGGATTGTGAGTTTACCATACTTTTATTTCATTAGCAAGATAAGATTTGAAAAGTATATAACCTCAAGGGAACTCTAAAAACAAGTTTATGGCTAAGGATTGCTTTATGCTTGGGTTACTGTATAAAAGCAAATGTGTTTCCTTATAAATCAGAATTGCTAGAATATTATTTGGGCTTTGTTACTTCTCACTCTAAAAATCATTCTTCTGTTGCAGAGCTTGCTTCTCTCGCTTCAGAGTCCTCTGAATCCAGTGTTCGGGAACAACACAGAAATAGGCAACCTTATCAGGTGACTCAGACCATTTTCCCCATTTCTAGGTTTTTTTTTTTTTTTTGTCATTTAAAAACACTTGCCTGGTGGTAGGTGATTATAAAATGGTGTTTGTTTTATGTTCATGATGGAAGAACGTGGCCTTTGCTCACTGGTTAACCTGTTAGCATGGAGGACATAATATCTCTTGCACAGAAGTGTAGGTGGGGGCTTGTAGATCTTGGGGTATCTCTTACATGCCCACGTAGAGATGCTGAGTGGACTGCTGGATGTACAAGTCTGGAGCTCCAGGGGAGGAACACTAGTTGTAGATATTGTTGGTTGTTAGGCAAACTCTGATGGGCTCCATCTTTCTCCAAGAACGTGAAGAACACAGTCACCCAGGAACCGTGAGGACACGGTATGTTACTTTTCTGACACGAAGTCGGTGTTGGTTGCCACGGATGAATGAATTGGAGTGCATACACAGAAAATACGATTCTTTATATCCACAGTCATATTAGGCAAAATATGTATTTTCTGACCTCCTCAAAGACACCTTCAAATGAGAAGCACTTTGATGTGACTCTGCAGTGCTGTGCCTGATATGTATGGATGTTCTTCCCTTTAGCTTTTGGAAAAGGCCCACTTGCAGATGGGTTCCCGACAGCATGTGGCATCCGAGGTCTTGGCTGTGTTCTGCCTACGAGTCGCTTTCAGTTTGAGGTGCTGCTGCTGGGAGTGCTTGCCCAGACCCATCGTTCTTTCTTGGGGTAGATATTGACTTGGGTTTCCAGGCAGCTCCAGGCCATCATATTCCTCCCTGCAGTTGGGATTCAGCTCAGTCCATATGTCTTGCCAGTGACGTGTGCTTCCCAGGCCTTTGTGGGGGAGGCGAGCTTTGACTGATGCTCAGCCACGTATCGGGAGGACCTAAGTGATGCCATTAATGGAAAACCCGTGGTAGCCAGATGGGAAGACATAGGAAGGGTCTGTGGCACCAAAGAACTTTGGCCTAGGTGACGAACTGTTGGGTTCTGGTACAAGTTCAGGCTATATCCTTAGGCTGGGTGTCAGGAAAATGCAAAGGTAAATTTCTTCCCGTCAAGTCTGCTGTCTTTGGCACATGTATTAGACTGGTATAGATGAATATGCTGCATAAAAACGCTATGTTTTGGGTCACTGAAGAAAGGTATATAATTCCACGTCACATTGCCACTTTGCTCGTTCGCAGTCTTGGGCACTTTGGTTTTTTTTCAAGGGTATTCTGTTCAAACACAATCCGAGCAAGGGAAAGTCTGAAGGGCCAGGGGCTGCATATGGGAATTGTCGATGTGGCCTTTAGGATGCCCAGATTCTTGGTCCCACCTGTGGACCCCCTTGCTCAGTGGACTTGGGTGCAACCCGAGTGTGTCTGAGTTTTAAGACAACACAGACTGATTGTCTAGGTGACTAGGTCTAAGGGCAATTGGCTACCTCATAGCAAGATGAACATGAGGGGCTGCTGGGACAGTGGGACATTGCCGATGACCACCTTGCCTACTTTGTAACCTCACATCGCCTGTGAATTTGATTTGCTAGTGTTCCAGGGCATTCACGATACCCATGCTAAGTACACTGGGTAGGGGTTGCACTGGACCCTTTCCAGGAGTGGAGGGTATCTGTGCCCTTATTGGAATCATGTGGATCCCCTGTAAGTAGAGGAGGGTCCAGCCCTGAGCCTCAAGTGTGTGCCCACACCTGGCACTGGCTCAGGGACCAGTGAAGTGCTCTGAGGAGCAAGCAGTGTCTTGGGGTCATTCTCATCCTCACCTTCAAGACCACAGCTTCCAGCCCCACCCAGAGTTCCACGTCTATGTTTGATCTCCAGATTGTGATGAGCCTCCAGGCACCGCATCTTCATCATGCAGCACCAGGCATGATTTTAATTATGTCCTGCACCCAACAGTTACTGAAACAGGAAGCTGGAGTTTTAACACTTAGGGTGGGCTACAAACCTCATTTGTTGCTGCACCAGCCTCCATAATTCTTGCTCCATCGGTATCCTTCTGATTGAGGTCCAGAATGCCAGAGACCCACACTCCCTTGGGGAAGATCAACCTGAGATGTCGTGGGGAGCCTCTTTTTCACATCTCTTGTTATGTCCAGATGCTTTCAGTGCTGACAGCCCTGAGAAAGCTTCAGAAGGGTGAGGGCTCTGCTCAGGGACAAGCTGGCATGAGTCAGGTCTGTTGGTGACTCTGGGCTGTAAACACACAAAAAAGTACCTGCTGGCTGCCTGGACCTCCCTGCCTTGCTCATCCCCACCTCTAAGCCCACTCCCCTGCTAGGGTTCTCCCCTAAACATGGGACTTTTCACCAGAGGCTGAGAGATGGGGGGCAGTCCCTGTTCCTACCACTAACTGGCAGAAAGGAAGGATGTGTTTCCAGTATCCTGGATCCCAAGGAATGGTTGCTGAGCATGGAGGTGCATCCAGTCCCTCTAAGCTTCCGTATCTTGGTACCTTGCTGCTTTAGCAGTAGTTCTCAATGGAGGGTATACCTGAAGCTCTTTGGGTGTTTGTTAAAATGCTAAGTCCTGAGCCTCTTCCAGCCTTTCTGGATCAGAATTTCTGGGAGATAGGGCCAAAGAATGTATAATTTTGCCATGTTCTCCAGGTGATCTCCTTTGAGGACAATATTTTCATGGCCCAACATGACAGCGTAACAGACATGCATAGTACTGATCCTCAGAGCAAGTCATCACTGAGTGCAGGGCTTTTCCTTAGAACTGTGCATGGGGAATGACTTCTACTCCACAAGCTTGCCACAAAGCGTGGAAAGAAATTTGGGGTGTGATGCTGTGATGAGTGTCAGATGGAAGGGTCTTGATGCTGAGGCTCTTCACAATCTAGGCTGCACTGTCATGGGGAAACACTTTCTAAAACCTGTGTTTTAGGTGGGTCCTAAGGCACACTACATTCACTGTGGATGAAAGAAAAACAGGATTTTAGGCTGCAGAGACCAGAGCATGTAGTAAATTGTAGGAAGGATCAGAAAGGAAAATAAGAAGTGACATTCCAAACTGATGTATACCAAAATGTGACGCTTCTCTCCACTGATGATTCCTATCCAGGCTGGACTTACACTCAGGGTACGTAATACTGACTTTATTTTCTAGAAAGGAGTTTCTGTTGGTGAAGTGCTGTAAACGCAGGTATAACTGCCTACAAAACATGTGAGGACAACACTAATAAATAAAATTAGAAAGTCTTACTAACAATTACAGCTAATGGGAAGGGCAAGTACCCTTTGTTTTTATATGAAGTCATGGGCTTTGCAAATGCTTTACATCTTGGTGAATAGTTAATACAAACAGCCCTCCTTTTCCTCTGCTCTTTCCAGGCCTCAACTCCCTGCCAGTCAATTTTTCTGTTTATTTTGGGCAACTCTGCTTCTTTCTCTCCCAAGCCTGTCAGTTTTGAAGGGTGTGTGCATGAACGACTTGAAACGTGGATCAAGTCTTCCCCGCTAATCACCACTCTCCCGAAATAAACAGAAATACAACCTTAATAAATTTAGAAAACGGCAACGCATTTGCGCAGCCCAGCAGGGAAAACCAAAGGCAAACAACAACTGCAAAAACGTCAAAGCATTTTCACAGCAGAAGCCCGGTTCTTAGAGCACGGTGGTGAGGTGGCTCCAGCAGGCTCTTGTTCTTCCTGCATGACTGGGACTCATTAGGTTAAGACCTCGAGCCAGAGTGATTTTATCCTCAAGACTTACTGACATTCTGGGCGCCTGGGTGGCTCAGTCGTTAAGCGTCTGCCTTCGGCTCAGGTCATAATCCCAGGGTCCTGGGATCGAGTCCCGCATCGGGCTCTCTGCTCGGCAGGAAGCCTGCTTCTCGCTCTCCCACTCCCCCTGCTTGTGTTCCTGCTCTCGCTGTCTCTCTCTCAAATAAATAAATAAAATCTTTAAAAAAAAAAAAAAAGACTTACTGACATTCTATTGCAACATAAATAATGCATGGTGCCCAGTTACATTATTTAGGATGTGCAATGCAGCTGCAGTGTCCTGGAATCTGAGTCGGCAGTCTCAGGACTGGCAGAAAAACATATTACGTGTTTTGCAATAGGGCAGTCCTGTTGGGCAGGTACTGGCCCCTCTGGAGGAGTATGTGGTTTGCTTGGGGTCACATTACCCAAGGAGAATGGCAAAGACCACATTTCCGAGAGGAGGCGGCAGCACGGCCACCCCGGGAGAGAGCAGGTGGACCTGTCAGACAGTCAGTTCAGCTTTGTCCCTCACCGTTAGGAGGAAAGTGTGTTTTTAAAGAAGTTTAGACATATTTTATATTTTCATACAGAAGTGAGAATTTCCATAGGAAGATGAAAACAAACCAACCAACCAGAATAGTGCATCTTTGCTGTCATTTGCCTTCACACAAACAAATA